AAACTGAGCTTGGAGTGCTGCGGATTGCTGCTGGTAACCGGCGAGCGCGAGGGCAAAAAATCGCCGGTGACCGTGACGCCGGTGAATATCTCGGAAAGTTGGAACTAGGGTTCGTGATTTTCCAACTTCACAGTCGGAAAATAGTCGTGCACCGGCCCCGGGAAGATAACGACGACTACTTGAGGACGATTTGGTAAAATTTGACAAGAAATTTGCGGAAGATATGATTCTTGGTGACGGCTGAGAGAAGAAGAACGAGAATCGCTGTCTGGAAGTGAAAATTTGGATGTTTTTTGAATGCCCCAAATCTAATTGTTATGCCCTTAAATCGCAGTGTTCGCGGCCGCGACTTTCTCATAGCCGCGACTTAATTCCTTTGCCGCGGCCGCGACTTGGCTCCGCGGCCGCGACCTTCCTCCGCGGCCACGACAATTTTCTGAGGCCGCAGAATTTCGAGCATGTTGCATGATATCTTGGACTAAAGAAATGATCGTCGCGGCTGCGGCTAAGGAAAGCCCGCGGCCGCGGCCAGCAATTTTTTTGTTTTTATATAAAAGAAAATAAAATAAATACACAACAGTACAAAGGATACTCGGTTTAATGCCGGGAGCTCGGTATAATTTCTTGATCACGCATAGACAGGGTCGCCGAGACTGACGGTCTCGACATGTCTCTTTCCAAACTCGCCATCATAATATGGTTTCACTCTCTACCCGTTAACCAAGAATAAATCGTTGTTTGCCGGATTACGCAAACGGACAACTCCAAATGACAACACTTCATCAACAATATACGGCCCACTCCAACGTGACTTGAGCTTTCCGGGAAAAAGACGAAGGCGAGAATTAAAGAGGAGTACCTTCACTCCGGGCTCGAGGGTCTTTCGAACAAGAGTGGCATCATGATGCTTTTTTGTCTTCTCCTTGTAGATTTTGGAATTATCGTAGGCTTCATTTCTCCACTCTTCTAATTTCGAGAGTTGCAGCATCCTCTCTCACCCGGCAGCATCAAGATCGAAATTCATCTTTTTGATTGACCAGAAGGCCTTGTGTTCGATCTCAACTGGCAAATGACATGATTTCCCGTAGACGAGCCGGAACGGGCTCATCCCCAATACTCCCTTGTATGCCGTCCTTTGGCCCCAGAGTGCATCATCGATTCGGCTCGACCAATCCTTCCTAGACAAATTCACCGTCTTCTCAAAAATAGTCTTCATCTGCTTGTTGCTCGTTTCTGCTTGCCCCGAAGTCTGTGGATGGTATGGGGTGGCCACTTTATGCGAAATTCCGTATTTCTTCATCAACTTCTCAAAAATCCGGTTACAGAAATGTTTGCCCCCATCGCTCACAATGTTACGTGGAAATCCAAACCTGCTCAAGATATTTCCTCGCAAAAACTTTATAACCACATTAGCATCACATGTCCGTGTGGGGATAGCCTCGACCCACTTGGACACGTAATCTACAGCGAGGAGGATATACTCGAAGCCAAAAGACTTGGGAAATGGTCCCATGAATTCAATGCCCCAAACATCAAAAATCTCAACTTGCAAATTGTTCACAAGGGGCATTTCATTTCTAGAACCAATGTTCCCAATTCTTTGACATCAGTCACATGATTTACAAAAATTATGAGCATCCTTAAAAAGAGTTGGCCAGAATAAACCTTATTGGAGAACTTTAAAGGTGGTTTTTCGTCCTCCAAAATATCCTCCACAGTTAAGCTCGTGGCGAAAGGTAAGGACATCCAATTGCTCTTCTTCGGGCACACACCTCCGAACTTTTCCCACCTTGAAGAGGAGTGGGTCATCCAAAAAATAACTCCTACACATCAACACAAAATGTTTTCTCTCTTGCGAAGAGAGGTTAGCCAACAAGACACCATCTGACAAGTAGTTGACAATATCAGCATACCAAGGGACACTAGTCACTTCACTCGCATGCTCATATGGAAAGTCATCATTTATGCTAACATGCTCATGCAATGCAAGTGAAGTTTCAGAAGGAACAATACGAGACAAATGATCAATAACAATATTTTCACACCCTTTTATATCTCTAATCTCTACATCAAACTCTTGCAAAAGAAGAATCCACCGAATAAGCCTAGGTTACGATTGAGTTTTACTCAAAAGATACCTAAGGGCTTCATGATCTGAATGCACAATTAATTTAGATACCAAGATATAAGACCTAAATTTTTCAAGAGAAAACACAACAGCCAAAAGTTCTTTCTGAGTGGTAGTATAATTCAATTGGGCACCATTGAGAGTCAAACTAGCATAATAAATCACATGAAGCAATTTATCAACTCGTTGGCCCAAAACGCCCCCCACAGCAAGGTTCGATGCATCACACATAATTTCGAAAGGTAAAGACCAATCAGGTGCAATCATGATAGGAGCAGTCACAAGCTTATTCTTCAACTTAGCAAAGGCATCTAAACATGCATCATCAAATATGAAAGGCACATCATAAGCAACTAAGTGACACAAGGGCTGGCTAATTTTTGAAAAGTCTTTAATAAATCTCCTATAGAAGCCAGCATGACCCAAAAAGCTTCGAAAACCTTTTACATTCACAGGCGGGGGAAGTTTTTCAATAACATCTACTTTAGCTTTGTCAACTTCAATCCCCTGACTAGACACCACATGACCTAGCACAACACCACTAGTCACCACAAAGTGACTTTTCTCCCAACTTAAAGTCAAGTTCGACTCAATGCATCTTTCAAGAAAACGAGATAAATTATGGAGTCAATTAGAAAATAAAGTACCAAAAATAGAGAAGTCATCCATAAATACCTGTAAGCAGTCCTCGAGAATATCAGAAAAGATGGAGAACATGCACCGTTGGAAGGTCCCCGGTGCATTGCACAGGCCGAAGGGCATACGTCTGAAGGCAAATGTGCCGGACGGGCACGTGAAGGTTGTCTTGGGCTGATCTTCCGGAGTTATGGCCACTTGGTAGTAGCCCGAAAGTCCGTCTAGGAAATAATAGAACTGGTGGCCGGAGAGTCGGTCGAGAATCTAATTGATAAACGGCAACGGGAAATGGTCCTTCTTGGTCACGGCGTTGAGTCACCGGTAGTCAATAAACATCCTCCACCCGGTGGTAATGCGGGTGGGAACCATCTTCTTTCTCTCGTTCTCAATCACTGTAATGCCTCCCTTCTTGGGCACCACATGAATGGGGCTCACCCACTCGCTGTCAGCCACTTGATAGATAAGCCCTTCGGAATAGAGCTTCAGCACTTTCTTCTTTACCACTTCCATCATATTCGGGTTGAGCCCCCGTTGGCTGTCCCGAAAAGGCTTAGCACCCTCCTCCAGAATGATCTGGTGCATGCACGTGGAAAGGCTGATGCCCTTAATGTCTCCTAGGCTCCACCCAATGGCCTTCTGGTTCCTCTTAAGTACCTCAATCAGCTCCTTCTCCTCTTCCCGGTTAAGCTCGCCAAAGATGATAACTGACTTTTGCTTATCATCGTCGAGGAACACATACTTGAGGTGGCGAGGTAGTTCTTTGAGCTCTAGTGTGGATGGGTTCGGTTTTTCGGGCTCGTCTGCTACAAAGAGCTCAATGGTTGGCTCTTCTCCCTCATTAAGATCGGGCAATGACCTTTCCTCCAAGTCTCGAATGGTCATCTCTCCCACGAACGAGTCTGCTACGTCAACAAAGGCACATTCCTCCACAAAGTTAACTGAGAATGTAGATGTGGCTTCCCGGACGGAGATAGATATGGACTCCCCCAAGACCCTCATGTTCAAGGTTCCATTACTCACGTCAATAAGGGTGTTGGTGGTTGACATAAACGGTCTGCCAAGAAGGATGGTGTGATCCTTCCCATTCTCCTAAACGTCCCCCATGTCTAGAACAACGAAGTCCACCGGGACGATAAGTTTCCCTACACGAACAAGGACATCTTCCACCACCCCCTTGGGGTATCGAATTGAACGGTCGACCAACTGCAAGCACATCCGAGTGGGTCTCAAGTCTTCGAGGCCGAGCCTCTGAAAGATAGAGAATGGCATGAGGTTGATTCCCGCTCCGAGGTCAAGCATCCCCGAAGCCTCTTTTCCATTCCCGAGAGCAATTCTTATCACGAAACCCCCGGGGTCCCGTTCTTTCTTTGGAAGATCATGCTGCATGGCACTCGCTACCTCATAAACCACCACTTTCTCTCCTTCTCCGAACTTCCTCTTCTTTTTGACCAAATCCTTGAAGAACTTCACGTAAAAAGGCATGTTCTTGATCACGTCTAGGAGAGGTAAGTTGACGTTAACTTTTGAGAGCATATTGTACAGGTCCCGGAATTGCTGCTCTTGCTTCTCATCTCGAAGTCGGCTTGGGGAAGGGATGCGTGGCTTGTAAGGGTTTGGAGACTTGTTAAGCAAAGGACTCTCTGTCGGTTTTCCCGAGTCAGTTTCTTTGCTCTTTCCGCTCTTCTCGGTTTCTTTGGGCTGGTCGGTTGGTTTGGGGTCATCAGGCTCGGGCATTCTCACTTTGTTGTCCACTTTCTTCCCGCTCCTCAACACTGTTATCGCCTTTGCTTGCTCGGGCTAGCTCGGAAGTTTCCCCTTGTCTGACTCAGCCTCCATATTCCCGACTCTCGTGGCAAGCTGACCCACATGCATCTTGAGACGCTTAATAGATGAGTCCTGGTTGGTTTTAAACTGAAGGATCTTGTCCAGCTTGTCATCTTGATTTGACGAGCTTGAACCGGACCCTTGGGCTTGCTGTTGCGGTTGCTGTTGTTGTTGGTAGTTGGGACGAGGGATGAAGTTGGGATGAGTTGTTGTTGCATGAAGTTTGGGCGGGATTGTTGTTGGTTGAAGTTTGGTCGAGGTAGCTTGAGGGTGTTGCTGTTGTTGGACCACGAGAAGTGCTGGTGATTTCTCCACCCGGGGTTGTACGTATTGGAGTCGGGTCGTTGGTCTACCGGTTCTGATATCCTTGGAGGGCGTTGACGTCTGCATACTGTTCTCCTACCTCCTGGACAAATGCTGATGGGCACACCTCAGATCTATGCCCCTGAACTCCACATGCCCTGCATGTTTCTACCGTCATGGTATGCACCGACTGACCTCCTCGTGCATTCATTAGCCGCATTTGCTCCGTGAGTTCGGCTATTTGATGGGCCATCGTGTCTTGAGCAGGAGATACCTTATTAACCATGACCCTCTTCCCTCGATTTCTCTTTAGAGACGAGTTAGCACTCATCGTCTCAAAAATATCATACATCTCTTCGGTCGTCCTTGCACCGATGTCTCCCCCCGCAGCATTGTCAACCATATATTGTAAATTTTGGTTAAGGGAGTCGTAGAAGCAATTCATCAGTAGTCCCGGTGAAAGATTGTGGTGAGGACATTGCTGCTGAAGATATTTGAATCGCTCCCAAGCCTCGTGAAGTGGCTCGCTCGGTAGTTGGGCAAACAAGACGATATGTGACCGGAGCTCCTGTGTCTTCTGATGGGAGTAATACCTCCCAATGAACTTCGTGTATACTTCGGTCCAGGTAGTTAGAGATGCTGGTGCAAGCGTCATGAACCAGGCCTTGGCCCGGTCTTTCAATGTCTTGGGGAAGCACCTCATCTTCAATTGATCCTCGTTCAGCCCGTTGAGAGGAAAGGTATTGAGGACATTGTAGAATTCCCGGATGAAGTTCAGCGGGTCCTCACTCGGGAGCCCATGGAATGCCGGCAGCTGGTTGTAGTGAATCATCTTTAACTCACAATTCCGTGCGGGATCGGGCAAACGGATGCACGAAGTGACTGGCCCGATAACCGGCTGGGCTAAGGTTCGGAGAGTGTTACGAGGAGCTTGTTGTTGTTGTTCTCCCATGTCGAAGTTGCTGCCTTCGGACGATTTCGGGGAATGATCGTCTCCTTCGTGGGATTCGAGAGTAAGCTCCTGTAGTAGCTCTCTCAAGCTTTCGTTGAACGGCTTGTCGATAGGCGATAGTACACGACCACTCCTAATACGCATACACAAAGACAAGAAACCGTCACGAGCACCAGATAAATAGAAAATAAAAAACTAAATTAACCAAGCCAAAATCAAGATTTATAAAACTAAGCAAAAGAAACAAAGAGAAACACTGAAACAAGAAAAATCACAAAACAAAGAGAAACACTAAAAACAAGATGAATAGGCGCACAAAATAAGTCCTAAACCTTCCCCGACAACGACGCCAATTTTGTTGTAAATATTTTTACCGGAGTAGAATCGAAGGATTCGAACACTGGGTCGTATCACAAGGAAGGTTAGCCGGATTATTTGTACGGATATTCTATCACAAGAAAAGAGAAAAAGAAATCCTAAACATTCTATTCAAGATTGATTGTTTGTTTATCGACTACTAATTGAAAAGCAAGTAATTGAAAAAGCTAGACAAAACTAGGAATCACAAGTTCACAACTTAATACTCAAACTCAACTTATGAACAAGGAGCTAGGGTATCGGGGACGATCAATTCTAGTTCTCAATACACTTAACGATCAATCAAGAGCTCGGTTAAATGTCTCGCTAAACTACTCGTCTAGAGATCTATCCTCAATAACTATTCATAACAAGAGGATAAAAATAAACGAGTAATTCTTAAAACAATCAACACATAAGCAATACTATTACGAACAAGCTTATTCCTAACGAGCCTAGACCGAATGATTTCTCCCTTTTCAGTTTTAAAATCGATTTTAGATTAAGATGGTGATCAAACATCAAAACCCTAGACTAAGCACAACTCGAGAGGGTTGACCAATTATCATGCATATAAATGAAATCGAACCAGAACGATCTTCCCCTAACCCTAGCTAACGGATTTAGCTACTCATCATGCATTCAACATCAAAATTCATAACAATCAAAGCCATCTCAATTATTAAGAAAACGAAACGAAAGTTTACGATTAATGAGTTCAATGTCGAAAACAAGAACAAGTCGAATCCAAAGTCGAATCTCGGAGTTTTCTTCTCCACGATTGAGTTCCAAAGTCAAAATCAAGAGGAAGTATGAGTTTTGGGTGAAAAATATCAAGAAGTTCGAAAACCTAGATCAAAACATGAATAATACGTTTCCAAAGAAATCTGCTATTTTAAAAATCTAAAATCGCACGTTCCGCGGCCGCGGACAAGCTCGCGGGCCGCGGCGAAGGAATGGTCCGCGGCCGCGATATGTCCCGCGGCTGCGACGTTTCTTTTCTGTCCATTAGTTGCAAAATCTCGGGCTCTCTGCGGCCACGACCTCCTCCTTCGCTGCCGCGGCGAAGAAAACTGGGGGCTGGAAGCTTTTTGTACACTGCGGCCGCGGGAAGACCGTCGCGGGCCGCGGTGAAGAGATTGTTGCTCAGATTTTTGCCGACTCTATACGCATGCCTCCGGACTTGGGATTTAGTTCCGCCTTCTCCATCTCAACTCGCTTTCAACTCCTAGACAACGATCATCTCATGGCTGCTTAACGAACCACCTAACCTGCATATTGCCACCACCAAGAAAAAAAAAACGCAGGAAACTGGGAAAAACAAACGAGAAAAACCAAAAATGAGCAAAATAAAGAAAACACATGACACGACACAAAATGTACCAAGAACCAAAGAAAATAACCTAGAATGGGGAAAAATAAATGCAAAATAAACAAGGAAAACACGACAAAAATAGAACAAACAGGAATAAAAGATATTAATTAATTAAAGCAATCAGAAGCTTTAATAATTAATGGACGTGTGATATCTTAAACACGGGGAATCATATCGAGTCTAATAGAAGCCCTGATTCATTTCGGGATAGGACGGGAGTGAAATATTAATTCTACAGTGGAATGAATTAATATTTACGGGCCAAATTGTGTTCTGGGCTGAACATAAGAATTTGGGCCTGTAGGGAGCCTAAACCCTATACCTTCTAAGAGATCCCTAGGCTGGCCCAAGGACCTCTATAAAAGGAGGGATTACACGTCTTGAACCCTACGCAGCAACACAAAACGTGACACCTTCAGCCACCATCGTGAGGAGAAAGTCACGCGAAGGGTTCAGAGAAGACGAACCACAATCTGCTCCTTTCAACCGTTTGGTAGATCGTCGTCCATCCGACGTCCAAACGTGGTCGGAACACAGACTAGAAGATTGCTCAGATCGAATCATAGCCTCAAAGAAAGGTATTTCTCTGTTCATACTTTAGGAGCATCCTTAGGGTAATTCAAAATCATGTATGTATATGTTTGGTATCCGATATCGATCCGTGGGAAGGACCGCCTCGTCGGCGTGTTCCAGCAATTGGTATCAGAGCCGCGGTTTCGTTGATTATCGGCTCTGCCTGGAACATGTAGTTGATTTTGTTTATTTGTTTATTCGTTTTCAATCATGTTCATGGTATGGATGATTGTTTATCTCATTTATGCTTCTGGATGGTGTCTATCGCAGCCCTTGTGTATTGTTGTAATATTTTTTCCCACCAGATAATAAGTGTGGGTAGTATAAGCGATTTTGTAGACTGTAGTAGGGCTTTCTTGTTTGATTTTTGCTGTAATTTTGTGTTCAAAGTCAAACGTGATGAAGATGATCAACCTGGAGGTGGCGGCTAGGGTTTCAGCATTCACCGGGGGCATTTTCGTCGGCGAAAACCGTTTTGGCCATAACTTTGCCACAGGTGTACGATTTCAGCCATTAATACCATTTCAGAAATGGGAGAGCGAGATCTACACATGTAACTGCTTTTCTTAAACAGCCTGTGGCGGGGTCAAATTCAAACGTCTAGATGAAGTTTTTGGCCCTTTTCCGTCAGTGGGTGTCGACATTGCGTGAATGACCCGATTTACGCGAGATGCCGATTCGAGTGTTCATCCACGACCTTGCTGAATCATGTAATAGTTTTTGATAGGCTATTAGTTGTTGGTTTTAAAGGGGCTGCGATAGATGTGTTTTAATTTTCACATTTTTTATCGCTTTGTGGATCCCGATTTAATTTTGCTAGAGCATGTTTATTTGATTATGTGTCTAGCTGATTTAAATGGAATTTTTTGGCACGTGAGAAATCATGTGAATAGGTGCTATAAATTCTTAGAAAGCTGTTATTACTTTTGTTTTGAATTTTAGGAGCATGCTAGAATTTATGTGATTTGCGTGTTTGGAGCATGATAGGAATTTTATTATTTCTTATTGCATGTTGTTAAAAACCTTCAAGTAAAAATGACTAAGTGAGTTTAATATGAATTTTAATTAATTCATTTGGCCTCCACAATTGGTCATTAAGTAAGGTGTTTGTCGCTCGCGGGACCCTGGGAGTCTCCCCTAACGGATGCGGCATTCACGAGCTTACTAGATAAGACTTCTATTCAAACGGCTTAACCTTTAGGTGAGGTGAGTGGCATATGCGTGACCCATGGGGCCTTCTCCCTAATGGATAGTGTCATTCATAAGCTCATCGGTAAATATTATTTCGAGATAACCGTAGAAAATTATTTACAAGCGATGTGTCTTCCGCATCGGTGAGTTCATCAATTATGGATGATTGTTCTTGGGGTTAAAATTGTGGTCATCACTTAGATGTAAATTTTAATGTAACTCCCCAACGGAGCCCCTGTTTTGATTCACATGGCCACTGTTAATATTTCGACTATTAATTTCATTCGCCAAAAGGATCGATTGGCGTGTAATTGAGATTAATGACTGGGTGTCTGCTTAATTGAAATATGAGTAAACGTCCACCCAACGTGGCTTGCATGTGTGTTCATTAAGTTGTCGAAGGTTGCATGGTTTTTGAAGGTTTCCATATTTTATGCTTCAAATTTATGTGAATTATTGCTTAAGTGTTTGCAATTATTTATTTCAGTTATTCATCATGTCATTCAATCCGCGTATGGTCATTCTCAATCAAAACAAGCTTACTGGTCCAAATTATTTGGATTGAAAGAGAAATCTGGATATTGTCCTTGTTGCTGATGAGTACAAGTTTGTGCTCACCACTCCTGCTCCTGCTCCTTTGAGCACCCAATCTACTGAAGAGGAAAGAGAGGCCCATCGTAAGTGGCATAAGGCTGATGAGATGGCTCGTTGTTACATCTTGGCATCTATGTCAAATGTTTTGCAACAACAACATCACATCATGCCTACTGCTGCTGACATGATGTCGAGTCTCAAGGAACTCCATGGTAAGAAAGATAGGGCTACTCGGTTTGAGGCAATGAGAAAGATTATGTCTTCTGTCATGCCAGAGGGAGCTTCTGTGCGAGAGCATGTTCTCAAGATGATGAAATATCTGAATGAGATAGATGTGCTCAGAGGAAATATTGATGGCGAAGCTAAGATCGATTTCATCCTGCACTCACTCCCGAAGTCCTATGAGAACTTCCACCTAAATGCAATCATGAACAAGAAGGGATATACTCTAGCCGAGCTTCTTACGGACTTGCTTGTAGCGGAGGGTCTTATGGGAAAGGGGCCACAGTCTAATGTTTCTGTACAAGCTTGACCTTTTTCGTCGAAAGGCGGGAAGAAGAAAAAGCAAGTGCAGGAAAAGAGTGGTGGAACCAGTGGGAGTAGTGATAATGGTGGGAGCAAGGCTGTAGCGCCTTCTGGTGTCATGGTGAAGCCAAAAGGCAAGTGTTTCAAGTACAAGAAGACAGAAAATTAGAAGACAGATTGTCCCCTCAAGGACGTTCCTGGTACATCTCTTGCTTTAGTTGTCGAAACATGTTTTGCGGCTTGTTCTACCAGTTCTTGGGTAGTAGATACAGGAGCCACTGATCATGTTTGTTATACTTTGCAGGGGTTTCTGCAAAGAAGGCAGCTCAGTGAGGGCGAGATTACCATCAGCTTGGGCAACGC